CTCCTCCTCCTCCTCCTCCTCTCGCCCTCGCCGTCGTCCTCGCCGCCTTCGTAGGAGCCGACGCCCGCGCCGCCACGACGCGAACCTCCCGCACGCGCTGCTCCCCCCTGGGCATCCCCAGGCTGTCCCTGGGAACCCCCAGTGGGCAAGAACGCCCAGAAGACGTCCCAGATCCGCGTTGCACGGCCATGGGGCTTGGGGACGGCCTCTGGAGCCCGAAACCCAAAATAACCCCCCCCGAAAGTGAAGAGACGAAGAAAAATCCGTCGAGTCCGCGTCCAGGGGTCAAACATCGGATCAGGGACCTGTCCAGGGATGCGATTAGGACATACATTCGGGGCGGGCCAAGCCGCCGGCACGAGGTGGCCCAAGGAAGGCTTGGGGCGCCGAAAAACGTTCTGGGACCTCCAAATACGAACCTCGAAATGCCGCCGCCGCCGCCGACGACGACGACGACGACATCGGAACATGTACGACGTACGTCGGAAAACGCCGAATAATTTTAACGCGCCACCGTGGTTGCCCCTACAACGACGCCCGAGCAAATCGGGGCCCGAACAAGCGCTGCGGCATGGCGAAGAGCAACCCACACCGCAAGCGAAACCGCGCGCATAAATGGCATCGCGCAAACAAAAGTAACCCGGAACATACCAAAATTCACCTAAGTTTCGCTTGGTGTCCTGTTCAGCCCGAACACTTGGCCTGGCGAAGGACCAAACCAAGTTGCAGTTGTGAGAACCGCAACTGTAAATTATCGTACTCGGTGGAACTCCCTGTGGGGCCACGAAGCGTGTGAGGGGTGTGCCGAGATGGGCGGGGAGGGCATGCGGGCCCTGCCAATGGGGCATTCGGTGGAGCTCCCTGTGGGGCCACGAAACGTGTGAGGGGTGTGCCGAAATGGGTGGTGGGGACGCGTGCGGGCCCTGCCACTGAGGAGGCCTTCGGTGTAACTCCGTATGGGGCCACGAAACGTGTGAGGGGTGTGCCGACATAGGTGGTGGGGAGGCACGTGGGCCCTGCCATTGAGGGCTTCGGTGAAATTCCCGATAGGGGCCACGAAACGTGTGAGGGGTGTGCCGAAATGGGTGGTGGAGAAGCATGCGGGCCCTGCCACTGAGGGCTTCGGTGGAGCCACCTATGGGACAGCGAAATGTGTGATGGTATGCCGAACTGGGTGCGGCGGACGCATGCGGGCGGTGGCTGTGGCATTCGGTGGAGCTCCCTGTGGGGCCACGAAACGTGTGAGCGGTGTGCCGAAATTGGTGTGGCGGACGCATGCGGGCGATCGCACTGGGGCCTTCTGTGGGGCTATCTATGGGGCCACGAAGCGTGTGAATGGTGGTGGTCCCAATGGGGCCTTCGGTGGCGCTCCCTGTGGGGCCACAAAACGTGTGCGGGGTGTGACGACATTTGTGTGGGGGACGCATGCGGGCGGCGGCACGGAGGCCTTGGGGGGAGCTCCCCATGGTGCCACGAAACGTGTGAGGGTGTGCCGAAATGAGTGTGGGTGACGCATGCGGGCGGTCCCACTGGGACCTTGGGTGGAGCTCCCTATGGGGCCACGAAACGTGTAAGGGGTGTGCCGACATGGGTGCGGGCGACGCATGCGGGCGGTGCCACTAAGACCTTCGGTGGAGCTCCCTATGGGGCCACGAAACGTGTGAGGGGTGTGCCGAAATGGGTGTGGGTGACGCATGCGGGCGGTCGCACTGAGACCTTCGGTGGAGCCCCCTATCAGACAGGTGAGAATTGTGTCCTTTAATTTGATGTCTGGGGAGGGGCGGGCACGGAGGGGGGGGAGGTGAGGGCTGGGGGAACGGCAGGAGACGCGGAGTCGGCGGGCTCGCGGGCCAGCGGCCTTCTAATAATACGAACTAAAGGTACTCCTCTGCCCCAAGGCGCAAGGGGTGTAGATGCGCCGTGCGCCACATTTAATTAATGTTATACTAAGAGTATGGGGCGGCGAACCCGCGACCGCCGATCCGCGTCGTTTTATAAAGTCCGCCGCCCGACCGCGGTGGTTCCACGATGGTTCCGAGAAGTTGACATGTCACGAAACCCTATGAATTCACAGGGTTCCTGCTTGGTTCCGCGATGGTTCCACGATGGTTCCGATGTCGCAAATGTTGTTCCGACGTCGCAAGTGTGACGGAACCCGATGAATTTGCAAGGTTCCTGCTTGGTTCCACGATGGTTCCGACGTCGCAAATGCGACGAAACCCTATGAATCCATAGGTGTCCTGCTTAGTTCCACGATGGCTCCGACGTCGCAAGTGTGACGGAACCCCATAAATTCACAGACAGGCCTGCTTCATTCCACGATGGTTCCAGGATGGTTCCGACGTCGCACGCATGACGACACCTCAGGAATTCACAAGGTCCCCCCCTTGTCCCAAAGGAAGCGCACCCGCGCGGCGGAGCACATGTGTGATTTGTTGATGTTGCGTTATCTTTCCCGTGCACATTCGCCAAGGGCGCGTGAAGACCCCTCCTGGGGCCTTCAGCAACTCAGGATCACCGACGCCACGGCCTCAAGGGCAAGGACGACGGGCGGGTGGTCCCAGTGGAGGCCGCAGCCTCCCGAGGCGCAAATCAATAGCGCCTGTGACGTCGACGGCCTGCGCCGCGAGCTGCCATCCAGGGTAAAGGATCTGGACCGCCGCCAGGGAAACCGCCTCGCCAAGTGATGCGGTTCGCTGAAAAATAGCGCACGCCCAATTTAAGGAAACTTTCGCACCTGTCTGATGGGGCCACGGAGCGTGTGAGGGGTGTGCCGAAATGGGTGTCGGTGGCGCATGTGGGCGACCCCACTGGGACCTTCGGAGAAGCTCCCTATGGGGCCACGACACGTGTGAGAGTGTGCTGTAATGGGGCTGGGTAACGCATGCGGGCGGTCCCACTGGAAGCCTCGGTGGAACTCCATATGGGGCTGCGAAACATGTGAAGGGTGTGCCGAAATTGGTGTGGGTGGCGCATGCGGGCGGTCCCACTGGGGCCTGCGGTGGAGCTCCCTATGTGGCCACGAAACGTATGCGGGGTGTGCCGAAATAGGTGTGGGTGGCGCATGCGGGCGGTCCCACTGGGGCCTGCGGTGGAGCTCCCTCTGGGGTCACGAAACGTATGCGGGGTGTGCCGAAATAGATGTGGGCGGTGCATGCGGGCGGTCGCACTGGGGCCTTCGGTAGAGCCCCATATGGGGCCACGAAGCGTGCGAGGGGTGTGCCGAAACGGGTGTGGGTGGCGCATGCGGGCGGTCCCACTGGGCACGGTGGAGCTCCCTGTGGGGCCACGCAACGTGTGAAGGGTGTACCGAAATGGGGCTGGGTAACGCATGCGGGCGGTCCCACTGGGACCTTGGGTGGAGCGCCCCATGGGGTCACGAAGCGTGTGAGGGGTGTGCCGAAAGGGGTGTGGGTGACGCATGCGGGCGGTCCCACTGGGGCCTGCGGTGGAGCTCCTTATGGGGCCACGAAACGTGTGAAGGGTGTGCCGAAATGGGTGTGGGTGACGCATGCGGGCGTTCCCACTGGGACCTTGGGTGGAGCTCCCTATGGGGCCACGAAGCATGTGAGGGGTGTGCCGAAAGGGGTGTGGGTGACGTATGTGGGCGGCCCCACTGGGACCTTCGAGGGAGCTCTCCATGAGGCAACGAAACGTATGCGGGGTGTGCCGAAATAAATGTGGGTGACGCATGCGGGCGGTGGCACTGATGCCACCGGTGGAACTACATATGGGGCCACGATGATGACGATGATGATGACGACGACGATGAGAAAGGAGGGGGAAGAGGAGGGAGGAGGAACGAGGGCGCTGTCTCTTCAAGGCGAGGACCCAACACCACAGGATGGTTGGGAAAAAAAGACAACGTCTGGCAGTGTTTGGGCGATTTACATGATGTTTTCTAGTGTGTGGGTTACAAGCAAAATTCGTTTGTCTTGCGTTACACTAGGATTCGTTTCGTGGGCGTGAACAACATATGGCAACGCCTTCCCACGTCTGAACGTCCCAAAAGCGTTTGAAATTCGCTTCACACGGTAATTTCATGTTGAACGATGTCTACATCCGTGTAGTAATCGCTTTACACGGAAATTCCACGTAAAACGCTCTTGGGCCGTCTTGGGCCGTTCGTGGCCCGACAACGCGAAAACCAAAATAAACTTCAAATAACTTTCAACAAATCAATGATTTTTGCCTCTGTGGCCTTCTTGGGGACCCTTTTGGGCCGTTTTGGGACCCTCTTGGGCCGTCCTTTCGGGCCGTCTTGGGGCGTCTTGGAAGCCTTCGGCCGTCTTGGGGCTCTCTTGGGGGCATATTGGGGCCCTCTTGGGAGCCTCTTGGGGCGGTCCTGGGACTCTCTTGGGGCCGTCTTGGGGCTCTCTTGAGCAGTTTTCGGGCCCTCTTGGGCCGTCTAGGGGTCCTCTTGGGCCGTTTTCGAGCCCTTGGGAGGGCCTCTGGGGCCAAGTTGGGACGATCTTTGGAGCCTCTTGGGCCGTCTTGGCCCGTTTTTGTTGCGAAAAAGCGAAAACCGAAAAAATCAAAAAACCATTGACAAATTAATAAATTGTGCCTCTTCGGGCCCTCTTGGGAAGCCTCTTGGAGGCTTCTTGGGGCGTTTGGAAGCCATGTTGAGGGTTTTGGCATGGCTTGGAGCTGTCGGCGAACTGTCTTGGGCAACATTGGAAGCCTCTTTGGACCCTCCGAGAAGGCCGGAATGCCGAAGGAACCCTTTGCAGGGGCGTCCGAGCAGCCCGGGGGGGGTCCAAGCAGCCCGGGGGGTCCGAAATTCGTTTGGGGGGGGGCCCTGTCCCGGGTCAGTCCGAGGTCCCCGGCCCTATAAAAATAAATTAATATGAATATTCATTTATATATATATATATATATATATATGTATATATATATATATATATACATTTGTACATACATACATACATACATACATGTAAATACACACGTATATACATACATACATACATACATACATACATACATACATACATACATACATACACACATACACACACCTATATATCCCCAGCACTCCGTCTCCTCAGCTTCCCGCCATCATGTCTCTCTGTCTCTCTCTCTCTATTTCTCCTTTTCTCTCTGTATTAAATTCAATTTGCGTTTGATTGGAGCCCATTAGGAAGACACAGGAACCCTGGGCCAAATGATTTCTATTTGGAATCTGATTAGATTCCAATTGGGTTTCAATAGAAATGGGACGGATTCCGCATACAGAGGATTTCTATTGGAACCAAATTGGGTCTCAAAGGATTTCTATTTGGATTCTGACTAAATTCCAATCGGAGTTCCATAGAAATGGCACGGATTTCGTGTCCAGAAGATTTCTCTTGGAATCTGAAGTGATGGCATTAGGAATTCAATAGAAAGAGAACGGATCCTAGATCCAGAAAGTGTCTGTATGGATTCGAATTAGATCCCATTTGGATTTCAGTAGAAATGAAATTGATTCCGCATCTGGAGGATTTCTATTCGAATCTAAATAGGTTCTGATAGGATTTCAAAAAAATACTCCGACGGAAGGACCCCACATGATAATCCTCTGGGCGAATCTGGAAAAAGCGCTCACCGTCGTCCTCGTGGTTGGTGAGGCGTCCTGACTGTCTCTTCTGCGTATATTTCTTCTCGCCCTGGCGCGGGCCCCCCCCCGCTCCCTACGTTGCCCCCGACCTCGCCCTCCTGTTTTTTTTCGCGCCCCGCCACCGCCTCGCCTTTCCATTGCACGAGCGCGCATGTCGGTTTTCCTCGGCGCCGTCGCCGCCTCGGCCAGCACAGGCGCGTTCTCTAATGGCCACGTCGCGCAGCCGTTGGGACAACCCCGCGGGCCAGGCTGTCGGGACAACCCCGCGAGCCGTTTGCGCGCAAGACCAAGCCGTTGGGACAACCCCGCGGGCTTCGAGCGGGGCGCAGCCGCGCTCAGGCGGGCAGCACGAAACCCAGCTCTGCCGCGAGCTGCTTCGCCTCCGCCCTGGACAAAACCGCTCTCCTGTCGAACTCCAGGAGCGCCTTCCGCAAGGACGCTGGCGGCCCGGCCCGGACGCAAGGGGCTACCCCTGCGCCCGATTCGGCCGCCGATGGGTCGCCACCGGCGACCCGGAGACAAGAGGTTACCCCTGCCCCCGATTCGGCCGAGGATGGGTCACCACCCCCGGCCCGGACACAAGAGGTTACCCCTGCGCCCGGCCGCTGTCTCGTCGTCGTCGTCGTCAGCTCCTCAGTCGCCTTTTGGAGCAAGCAGGCCCATGACAGCCATATTCAGGCCGCGGGGACCCAAAAGTGACGACAAGCATACGAATTCCGAGGACCCTCCTCGGATTCGAAATTCACAAATGTGGCCCGGGAATGACGCTCTGGGAACACGACGAACACAAAGTGGCTTACAGTTGGCTCCGGACATCCAGAATGTGGCCCGGGAATGGTGTTCTGGGAACAAGAAGAACACGAAGTGGCCTACAGTTGGCTCCGGGGTTTCAAAATGTGGCCCGGGAATGGTGTTCTGGGAACACGAAGAACACGAAGTGGCCTACAGTTGGCTCCGGCCATGCACAATGTGGCCCGGGAATGGCGTTCTGGCAGCGCGAGAGCCCAAAAGTGACGACAGTTACAAGGTTTGGATGACCCGCTCGGGTTACCAACATGATCTGCGGGCCCCATAGGGAAGGGGTTCCCGCCTGAGACTTCCTCACAATTCACTCACAGACGAGGCGCCCGCCTGAGACTTCCTCCAAATTCATGCCTGAAGAGCCCAAAAGTAACGACAGTTACAAGGTTTGGATGACCCGCTCGGGTTGCCAACATGAAGCGCGGGCCCCATAGGGAGGGGTTCCCGCCTGTGACTTCCTCGCAATTCACTCACAGACGAGGTTCCCGCCTGAGACTTCCTCCGTACTCAAGCTTGAGGAGCCCAAAAGTGACGACAGTTACAGGGTTTGGATGACCCGCTCGGATTACCAACATGATCTGCGGGCCCCATAAGAGGGAGTTCCCGCCTGAGACTTCCTCACAATTCACTCACAAACGAACTCCCGCCTGAGACTTCCTCCAAGTGAGTATGTGAATGAATGAGCGTGTGACAGAGTGCGAGTGATGATGATGATGAGGATGATGATGATGATGAGTATGTGAGTGACTGAGCGTGTTAGAGAGCCCGAGTGATGATGCTGATGTTGATGATGAGAGAGTGCGAGCGAATGTGAGTGTGAGTGAATGGCGATGATGATGAGTGAGTGAGTGGGTGTGCGAAGGCAGAAGATGAGAGGGGGTGGGGTGAGTGTTCCTGCGCGGGGTGTGCAGAGAAAACAAAAACCCCAGTTTGGATGTGGGAAAAAAAAGGAAATGTCATTTCCAGATTCAAAGGGTTTCTATTTTGATGTCAATTGGATTTCCATAGAAATGGGGTGGATTTCTAATCCAGAAGATTTCTATGGGAATCTAAATGAGTTTTAAAAGGATGTCAATAATGATATTTGGTTCAGAAAAATAAATGAAACTCGCTAAGGAATTCTACTGTAACGCAACACAAAAGGATTCTATGTGAAATCCACACAATAAAAATC